TTGTTGGCCTCCCATCCACAGCTGTGCTTTAGTGTAGTCTTGAGCGTGGACCCAAATCATTCATCTCCCTTCACTCCACGTTGCTTTATATGCTTTGTAGGGGAAAGAGAGCCAACTTTGCAGACACCTAGTTTGCGTCCTCTCTGCTTATCTCCTATTCTGCCTTCAGGTGGAGAGCACTATTTTTCATTTCATCTCATGAGGATAAACCTGGACATACTGATCTTGGTTGAGCCATTTCTGATCTGTGCTCCAACTAAAGTTCTCCCACATGGGTTATGTCTCACAGCAGAGTGGAAAGAATACAAATGCAGAGTCAGATAGATGTGTACTCCTATATTGGCTTTGCCATGTGTGAGCTGTTCCACTTTACCAGCTGTGCAATGAAAAATCTCCAAGTTGTAGTTTTCCCATCGATAGAATGGGGTTAATCCTAGTTCTTACTTTATTGTCCTGTTTTGAGGTTTAAATGAGGTATATGTAAGGAAATATATCATAGTGACTGGCAGATGTAAGAATTTAATTAATGTTATCATTAATCTTATTAATATGTATTCATTGTAGAAATTTGTAAGATATACAGCAGTACAAAGAAAAATTTGAAAAAGAACGCCACACTTACAGAACTATATATATAGTGTGTGTGTGTGTGTGTGTGTGTGTATGGGAGGGATGTGTTTGTCTAGAACTATTTGAACTATATATATAGTGTGTGTGTGTGTGTGTGTATGGGAGGGATGTGTTTGTCTAGAACTATTTGAACTATATATATAGTGTGTGTGTGTGTGTATGGGAGGGATGTGTTTGTCTAGAACTATTTGAACTATATATATAGTGTGTGTGTGTGTGTGTGTGTGTGTGTATGGGAGGGATGTGTTTGTCTAGAACTATTCGAACTATATATATAGTGTGTGTGTGTGTGTGAGGGGTGTGTTTGTCTAGCCCATTCTATGCTGCTCTACAAAATGGTTATTTCCCAAAGCAATTTCTGATTAGAATCTCAAATTGTGGATCTCATTTGGGGTTTCCCAGAACTGATTTTGGAGCAAAGTTTTAGCACTTTTTTTTTTTTTTTTAGCAAATATCTTCCCAAGGGATTAAAGGGAGGAGAGTTCATAGTCAAATTACATGCAGCAATTAAAAGCTTCATTTCTTCCTAATAATTTGGGCCAATTCAGTGATATTTTCTAAGCATGTGCTAGGTGGATTACACATAGACGTTTCTATGTTTGTCCTAGATAAAGCATCATGAGTGAAAATGCTCTAGATTTTGCATTCTGCAGGGCTGTATGTCCAAAGGTCAGCAATTTTTCTGGATGGATGGCAGGAATGATCTGTACAGAATAGTTACGTTTTTCGACAAGGGACTGCTATCTTTCCCTTGGAGGTAACCCACAGATTAGGCAGCCAGAAATCACATTCAGTGCTCCAAAATGTCAAAGCTTCAGTTGACAAAGAAATCATTTCAGAATCATAGTGTGAAGTGCAAAGTAGGCTTTTTCCTGGAATTTTGACTAGAACTCACATCTGAGAACAAAAGGCACCGAGTCCTCTGAATTTTAAGTTCGCAGAATTACCAATCCATATGAGCAGCCACCTCTTCCAGTCTGCCTGCTGAGAGGCTCCATTTCAGCAGAGCAGGCACCGATGCCCGCCTCTCTTTGCTTACTTGCCCTCCATCAGGCAAAATGTGGCTATAGGATGGGAGGCCATCTTTGTGGGGGGCAAATAGAGATTCATGCAGTGGCAACCACCGCCCTCCACCCTGCCATGGAACATTTAATTTGTCTGTTCCTTCTACAAGAGTGAGGGTAGCAGAACTGCCACAACCTCCCCATTCTAATTCTGAGAGTAAGATCATCTCCTCTACCAAGATGTCTGAGCCCCTGAGCCAGCAGAGGGCTTGCTGCATCCCGTCCTCCTGGGATGATGATTCTGGGGCACAGGGTAATGGCAGGGAGAAGTCAGAACTGAGAGGCAGAGTGCCAGGCGTAGCCAGCCTTTCCCCTCTTTGGCATGGCAAGAGTGTGGGACTTGGATGTGCCTGGGTGGATGCCATGGAAGGTGGCGAGAACATCAACTCTCTTGTTTGTGCGCCCCCACCCCCTCCAGAGGGCTGTCACCTCAGTGAAGGGGTCCCATGAGCAAGTCACTACGGGGAGGACCGCAGCACGGGTGAGAAAGAGAGCCAACCTCAGATGGATCTTCCACTCTAGGGCACTGTTCAGGGGAGACCTCCCATGGGGTCCTCTGAAGAACCAATGTGCTTTCTCTTTTCAGAGAGCCAGCATTTTAAATTCATGCCTCACAGAGGGAACTCAGGGTAGTCAGGGTTATACAGCATAACAGTGACACCAATAGAAAGTGATGGTGACCTCACCTCACCACAAAAGGGAACTGTAATTATAACCGACAAGGCAGAGGGAAGGCATGAAAAGAATTCTTCCTTCTCTTCTCCCTCCACCCCACTACGTCATCCCTCAGGAGGGAAGAAGGCAGTGTGTGAGAGAGCAGTTCCCCTCACTTTGTTCTGACCCCCCTCCCCCAAATCCAAGTCTCTGGAGCCACTAATCGGATTGGATGGGAGGAAGACTGAATCAAATATGAGATTGGAATTTTAAAATAGGGAAGGCTAAGTTTTAGACTGTCTTAATAGTAGATTAATATTAAATATTAAATATATAAAATTATATAAAAAGATAACATAACATACTATTATTTAAAATACAAAAAAATAGAACGGACTATCACAGTGATTTATTTCCTGACTTGCAACATTCATCAAGCATTTTATCAAATGTCTGCCCTGTTAGGTATTGAGCAAAAATGTTAGGGATTCCAGAATGAATAAATGAATAATGAAAAATAGAAATAAATGAATAAAACAGGTGGATGCGGATCAGTTATAGCAGAGATTGCTGGCTGTTTACCAAATTATTTTTCCATTTCTTCTAGAGCACACAGCTCGATTACATTTCCCAGCTTCCCTTGCAGTCAAGTTTGGTCATGTGACTAGTTTTCACCCATGGAGTGTGAGTAGAAGATACTTGTTACTTCCTCCCTTAGGCAACTCCAACATACTCTCTTTCCTCGTCAGCTGGGTGCAGATAACTACAAAGCCCTGGGGATTGCAGAGCCACAGATAAAAGGAGTCTGAATTTCTGAATTTCCATGTGGGGGAGAAGCCACCAACTGACCAGGAAACATACTTTGGACTATTCTGTGAGGAAGAAGTAAACTCCTATTGTGTTTGAACCATGATGTGTCTGGGGGACTATTTATGACAGCAGTTTATCCTACCCTAGTTCAAATACCACTGCAATAGGACTTTTCCCTTTACTAATCAGAATTTTGTTTCTTTTTTGATTTGTGGATCACACTTGTGTTGATTTCTTTTTCTCTTTTCGACCTTTCTTTTTGTGGCTGGGAATAAAGTTACTGTGGGATTCTGTGGAAATATTATAACAGAAAATAATTGTATTTAAGTGAAATTATTAGAATCGGGTTCTAATCCTTTTTTGCTCTAGCCAAACTTTCTCAAGGCAAGATAGTGTTATTGGTAACTAGAAATCTCCATGATTAGGAACAGAGACCACTGTAGAACCAAGACTGACCCTGACAGGGCTGTTTAATCATGGGTCCTGGGTTTGAGGGCCAGTACCTCTCCCTGTTCTTTCTTTTTGTGCTAAGAAAGCCCTGGAAGTATGTTCCCCTGGTCTCAGGAGAGAAAACCTTTGTGGAATAAAGTGGGAGGAAATGGGGAGAAAGTTACTTTGCCCAGGAAGGAAGTCTCCAGCAATTGAGCAATAATCTTAAGGAGCTTGAAGGAAGTTCATCTGTGTTTAAAGATTTTCATCCAGGCCTCCCTGATAATAAAATGAACGTAAACAAAGCAGATGAGAATTTTTCAGTTGGAGAATGGATAATTTTTAAAGATAGGAACTTTGAAATTGAGCCACTAAATAATGATGTGTGTATGTGTACACACACATATGTGTGAGGTCCATACATTCTGTTGATTGTTGCTTGACCTATTATGTAAAGATTCACTCTGGGTGATAGTTAGTGTGAGTCCGTATAGAATTTTTAAAGAACCCAAAAAGACCTGCTGGGAAAATTTGTACTATGCTAAAATATATTTCATGAGAGAAGTTCTCAAGAGGAAACTGCAAAAGAAATTAGAATACCCAAAGACTTTAAGAGAAAGGCAATTTCATAAATAGAGATACTGCACAATCTTTTCCTCTTGGCTCCTTAGTTCCGATTGGCATTTCCCTTTGCTTTCCCACTCTGTCAGTGATTTATTTGAGGCTGAGGGCAGATGCTGGGATGATTTGTGAGGCTACCTAATGCCACGGTGATAGGGATCAATGGTTTGCTCTAAAAAGTAGTAAAATGCATCATCTCTATTGAACAAACGATATTTCTAAAAATATTTTTCTAAGCATAGGAGTAAAACTTGAGATTTACTGTCAGGAAAGAAATATTAGAAAGTTAATGCATCTGCCTCATGACACGATTGGCATTTCTCTCCATCAAACTTTATCTGTCATCCCCATTGAAAGGAGGCAGGTGCTTCAAAAAATGTTCATTTCTAAACAGTCTTCTTTGGAGGGGAGAGAATTCTGTTGGAGACAATGCATTTTGCTGTATCGCTTCTTTCCGGTATGAAGTTTAGGACAAGAGACAATTAAGACCAAAGTGAACCCAAAGCAATTCTGATATGTAATGATGTAGTAAAGCTAAATGGCTCAAAGAAGTGCTTTATGGTTAATTATTGTTTACTTTTTCTCTACTTACAAAATGAGTTTTATGCTCAATGCAAAAAAAACCAAAACAAAAACAAAAACAAAAAAACCCAAAAAACCTTGGAAAACCCAAATGAACATGTCAGAAAGCAATCACACCACCCAAAGATAGCCTTCTTGTCTGTATTCATGTAATCATTTTTCTATAGTTCTGCTTTATTTAAAACATTTGCAGGCCATGGACTTCACAACAGAGGCCAGAAACCTGGAAACTTGATACTACTGGACAAGAGAATGGGGCATATTGAAAATGATAAGAGAAACAAGGCCTTCGAAGAAGGAAACTGTAGAAATGCGGTGAGCATATTTTTAGAAAAATATTGCAAGTTAAATTTTTGATGGAGATAATTGATGCTTTTGCTCTTCTGGTAAAATACATCCATATTTTATGAATAAAATTATAATGCATACTAACTATTGCATATAATTACTGAGTAGGGCTGTGGTAGTCCAGGAAACATTACAAAGTTAGGAAATTACAATTTTACAAATGCCACACATGGAAAACAGAAAGAAATGGATTATGTAGAATATTACCAAGTATTATAACTTGATAATGGACGTGAAAGCTTTTTGTCAACTCTGATGTGTGCTGCAGATGCTGGTATTATTACTGTTCATTGCTATTATTCTTACTAAATATATGGAGAGGTAGGAAGTCTGTAGGAAAAACTGAAATTGCATAGAATTTCCTGATTCGCAGGAAGATCTAATGGCTTGAATATATAGTGTTAGCCAGCAATAATATTTGAAGGGTGACGGTCATACGGAAGAGTGATTCAGTTGGATCCTATGAACCCCAAGGAGTTCAGGATAAAGACTTCGGACAGTTTCCTTGATTAAAGAAAATCACTTGGGGTGCCTGGGTGGCTCAGTTGGTTAAGGTTCTGACTCTTGATTTCTGCTCAGGTCATGATCTCAGGGTTGTGGGGTCGAGCCCTGCATCAGGCTCTGCACTGGGCGTTGAGCCTGCTTGAGATTCTCTATCTCTCTCCCTCTTCCTCTGCCCTTCCCCCCCCCTCCCCGAAAACATCACTTTAGAAAAATAAATTAACTTAAATGATAACTACATAGCATCCTACCTTTATGAGAAAATTTTCCTTAAACTTCAGAATAAATGCAGGCATTTTTTTTTTTGAAGATTTTATTTATTTATTTGACAGAGAGAGACACAGCGAGAGAGGGAACACAAGCAGGGGGAGTGGGAGAGGGAGAAGCAGGCTTCCTGAGGAGCAGGGATCCCGATGTGCGGCTCGATCCCAGGACCCTGGGATCATGACCTGAGCCAAAGGCAGATGCTTAATGACTGAGCCACCCAGGCGCCCCAAGTGCAGACATTTTATTTCACTGTTGATGTCCTTCTGTGAGAGCCTGGGGAAGGCTTTGGGACCGGATTGAGTTGTTTCCCTTTTTGGAAAAATTTTGTTCTCTCCATGCTGAGCATTTTCCCAAGTCACCCTTTTAAAATATTTCTTTCATGTGTTAGTCAGACACATTTCCAGCACCTGAAAAGCAAATACACTATGTGTATGTCATCTGAGAAGCCGCAAGCTTTCTGCTCATCACCCACTGATGTAAAAACTACATTATTTGTAACAATCCCAGTGGCTGAGATTGTAAAATGCTGAATTGTTTTCTTTTTAAAAATTTAACATGATTATTATCACAGGGTCTTTATTTTATTCCTCTGTGTAAATCAGGGTAGGATAAGTGTCATAACAAACTATTCAAAAAATCTCCATGGTTTAGTACAATGAGAGTTTATTTTTCACTGATGTCACATTCCAACTCAGGTAGGGGATGTGGGTGACTCTGTTCCACTCAAACATTCAGGGACCCAGTCCCTTTCCATCATGTGGTATAGATCACTTCCACCCACATTTTGTTAGCTAGAACTCAGTGATAGGGCCCCTCCTGTCTGTAATCTAGCTATATGCCCAGGAGGAAGAGAAATGATGTATTGTGAATGCATAGAAGTCTTTGTAGCACCTCAAAAAATTGTAATAATATGCAATAAAAAGTCTAAGATCTAGATTACTTCTAAAAATAAAAAGTCAACATTAAAATCAGAAGAATGGTTATATGGTAAGAATTTTGGCTTTGAGGTGTCCCCCCAGTATACACCTGTGTATCTCAAGCTGGGTTTAGGGAGACTCTCTTAGTTGGTGGGCTGTTGGAGATTTGACTCATAATCGGATATCATTAAAGGACAGGCTATGGGGCAGTGATATCTGACCTGGGTTCCCAACCCCTGAAAATTCTCAAAATGGATCCATGAATCCATATGAAAAAATTCATTTTCTTTTTTCTTAAAGATTTTATTTACTTATTTGAGAGAGAGAGAGAGAACGAGCCAGGGGGAGGGGCAGAGGGAGAGGGAGAATCAGGCTCCCCACTGAGCAGGGACTCCAACATGGGGCTCGATCCCAGGACCCCAAAATCATGACCTGAGCCAAAGGCAGACACTTAACCGACTGAGCCACCCAGGCACCTCATCAAAAACTCATTTTCTAAATCAACCAGTGAACCAGGGCAGGGGACATTATGTAATGCTCCAAAGTGCTTTGCTGTTCTTCACTCCTGGTACAATTCTAAGAATTGAGTTGTATTTCTTGGAGCCTGTTTGAGGGCTTATAGTAAACTGCGGGGTGTCCAGGGAAGAGTGACTAGGAGAGTGAGGGCATTTCAAATGACATTATTCCTTCAACACCATTGAGGGCCTACCATGTGCCATTCACTATGGTGCTAGAGATAGGAGGAGAACAAAAGAACCAGTGTTTCTGCCTTCATGGAACTTAGTAATGGTGATAATGAACAAGAAAACAAATGTATAAGCATGTTAAGTTTAACTAGTGTATATTCCTGAAGAAAATAAAGTGACGTGCTAGGGAGTGTCTAGTAGGGATGGAACATCATTAGAGTAAGTCAGGGAAGGTCTTTCTGAGGAGGTGGGATATTTTAGTGGAGATCTGAATGGTGAGAAGGATCCAGCCTTGTGGGGAAGAACATTCCAGTAAAAACCCCAAGATGGGAAGGACTTTGGTGTGTTCAAGTAACAAAAAGGCCAGTGTGGCTTAAGCGCCTGAGTAGAGCAGGGGTTGGGGAGGGGGTTGGCAAAGAGGGGAAGAGATAGGGAGTGTCCAGGTCATGGTGTTTGGATTTTGCTCTCAGAGCCGTGAGAAGCCCGTAGAGAGTTTTAAGGAGGAAAATGACATGGCCAGGTTACCATAATTAAAATGGCATCTTGGCCGCTGTGTGGGGCATGGAATGTAGGGATGCAGGGGTGGAGCCAGAGAGACCAGGGCTGGGCTGCTGGCCACCAGGGGAAGGATGCTGCTGCTTGTAGAAACTGGCCGGGGTAAGACTGTCAAAAAGGGTGATGGATCTTTGATGGAGGTTGGATACCCTAGGAGGGTGTTGTTAGAGAAGAGGAATCCAGATTACTCCTAGGTTTTTGGTATGAACTGCTGGGAGTAAGTCTTTGCGGAATGCTGAGGGAAGATTTAAGTGTTGGATATGGGTTGATCCAGGTGAGCTTTCCGGTTCTTTAAAACTTAAAGGCCAGTGATTTTAATGCGGGACAAAACAGGAGCTGGGTGGGGTGCCGGCCCAGGGGATGGGGGTGTGGTGATCTTGCTCCGGGAGGCTCTGTGCCACGAAGCCTTAAGCACAGGCTCCCGCAGGTACCGTGGGCTCTGCAGGTACAGCCCTGGTCTTTGGGAGGTGGTGTTATCTGCTATGTTAGAATAGAAAGCCGTCATTTTGTAGATTGTAACACTCCTTCCACCCTACCCTCCCTTCCTGAGTCATAAGGCTAACTGCCATTCTTTTTCCTTAGTTAAAAAAAGATTAATCTTATTATGAGAAGTTACATTCTGGCTAAAATACATTCTCAGCTTCCCTTCTAACTAGGGGTGGCCAATGACACATAGGCCAAACATGCTGGATGGGACTTATGGGAAGACAGTGTAAGAGGCTCAGGTCTGCTTGGAACACAGGTGTGATGGTTGGCTATAAAGCAACTGCTTTGGCCTGAAGCCTGCTTGAAAAGGGCAGCCAGGGGCGCCTGGATGGCTCAGTTGGTTAAGCGTCTGCCTTTGGCTCAGGTCATGATCCCGGGGTCCTGGGATCGAGCACCTTTTCGGGCTCCCCGCTCATCATCGGGGAGCCTGCTTCTCCCTCTCCCTCTGCCTGCTGCTCCCCGTTGTGCACTAGCTCTCTCTCAAATAAATAAATAAATAAAGTCTAAAGAAAGAAAGAAAAAAATGGCAGCCAGGAACTCAGGAGGGTGAGGCAGAAAGGTCTAAGGAGCCCAAGTTCCGGATGACAACATGGAGACATCCCATGTCTCTGAGGTGCCTATCCTCATGCTTCTTCTATGCGAAAGAAAAAGCTCTTGTCTTATTGAAACCACTGATATTTTACTTTCTAGCGGCCAAATACAATTTCTAATTCGTACACTTCTCCTCCCCAGCTGACACTACTTTTCAAAGGGGCGTCTCCTAATTTCTGTGAGCTACTCTGCGCCAGTTTCCTTGGGCAAAGAACTTGGGTACATGCTACATGCTCTGTCCTCACTAAGTCCTTCCTTAACCACCCTATTTAAAAATACATCCCCCACCTGTACTCCTCATTCCTCACTTCCTGCTTTATTTTTCTCCAAGTCACTTATCAGTGTCTAACATACCATATGATTTCTGTGTTTTTTTTTTAAAGATTTTATTTATTTATTTGAGAGAGAGAGAATGAGAGACAGAGAGCACGAGAGGGAAGAGGGCAGAGGGAGAAGCAGACCCCCCGCCGAGCAGGGAGCCCGATGTGGGACTCGATCCCGGGACTCCAGGATCATGACCTGAGCCGAAGGCAGTCGCTTAACCAACTGAGCCACCCAGGCGCCCCTGATTTCTGTGTTTTATCTGTTGTGTATCTCTTGCACTTCTCCCCACAATTCTAAGGTAAGCTCTGTGAGGATTTTTGTCTGTTTCATTCCCTGCTGTATCCTCTGATCTTCTGATTCCTCCTAAACAATTCAGTTTGTAGAGGAGTGAACAGGGAAACCAATAGTGACTGATACTTCTATTCCTCCTTTAGCCTATATTCATTCTCTCTCTCTCTCTGTCACACACACACACACACACACACACACACACACACACTATACATGTACATTATTATTATAAGTTGGCTTCCATTCTCTTTGGCCTGTGTCTTACTGAATTAAAAACAGACCTTAGAAATAAAGGTCAAACACTAATTGGCAAGGAGGAGAAAGAACAAAGTTCCTAATATTCCCGTCT